CCACTATCACCAATGTTGGAATAAGTAGCAGCTGCTCTTCCAGTCATCTGCCCTACATGGAGGCCATCTTGTTGTTCACTTTAAGTAGCCATACATCTTAGGCTATGCCAATTATTATTATTATTATTATTATTATTATTATTATTATTAAACTTTATTTGTACCCCGCTAGCATCTCCCGAAGGATTCGATGCGGCTTACACAGGCCGAGGCCTCAACACACAACACAACAATACAATCTAAGCAAATCTTGTTGTTCACAATTAAAAACAGAATGAAGCAAAATAAACAACAGGCACAATACACTAAAACACAATAAAACTGGGCCGGGCCAGAGAATGGGTACAAAGATTCAAAGTGCTGATGTGACAGGAAGTGTATAAAGGGCTTCTAGGGCAAGAGCAATGTGTGATGTGCAGCAATCATTGGTTCTGATAAAGTGCTTATGGGACTTGGTAGTGGAGATTTCCTAATCTGGGAAGGCGCATCGGAAAAGCCAGGTCTTCAAGTTCTTTCTGAAGACAGCCAATGTAGGGGCCTGTCTAAGATCTTTGGGGAGGGTGTTCCAGAGTAGGGGGCCACCACGGAAAAGGCCCTGTCCCGCGTCCCCACCAAGCGCGCTTGCGACGCAGGTGGGATCACGAGCAGGGCCTCTCCAGATGACCGAAGTGAACGTGTGGGTTCGTAGATGGAAGATGCGGTCACGCAGGTAGGCTGGTCCCAAACCGTTCAGGGCTTTGTAGGTAAGCACCTGCACCTTAAATTGGGCTCGGAAAATAAACGGCAGCCAGTGGAGCTCCTTGAACAGGAGGGTTGAGCTCTCTCTGTAAGGGGCCCCAGTTAGCATCCTGGCTGCTGATCGTTGGACCAGTTGGAGCTTCTGAGCCATCTTCAAGGGCAGCCCCACGTAAGAGCGCATTGCAGTAGTCCAATCTGGAGGTGACCAAGGCATGGACCACTCCGGCCAAATCCGCCTTCGCGAGGTACGGTCGCAGTTGGCGCACGAGTCTCAGTTGTGCAAAAGCCCTCCCAGACACCGCCGACGCCTGAGCCTCAAGCGTAAGCGTTGAATCCAAGAGGACTCCCAAACTGCGGACCTGTGATTTCAGGGGCCACATTCTCTCTCTCCTTACAACTCCTTACATGTGTTGTAGTGTCAAAAATAGACCTCCTCTATTTGCATAGCTATACATCCAGTTCTACCCAGGAAATCCATCAGAACACCCATAAACAATATGCTTTAACACATGAAAACATCCCAATCCAAGGGGAGATGGGGGGAGAGCCTTCTGTGGAAATGAGCCCTCAAATTAGTAGTAAGAAGTGTGACTCCTTCACCGGTGGCGGCTGATAAAGAGACAGGCTGGAACGCACCCCTCAGCCGCCAGTCGTCCTGCCAGGGCATTCATCAAATTAAGTACCCAGGGAAACAACACCTCTGATATCTCTTCATTTGGGGCTGCAGTGAATGAGGCACTAGATTAGGCTTGACAGTGGCCTAATGCAGGCTGAGCTTTCCTAGGCGTAATTAATTGGAACCTCGCCAGCTTGACAAATTGGAATGATGAATCTATCGGCTATGAATAGTGGGAGGGAATGGGGAGGGAGGAGAAGGGGGGGAAATGCATAATCAGTCAAAGATTTAGTTAAGACAGCTTCTGCCTGATTCTCCGGTCATAGCCAAATCCATTACGGGAAGGAAACATCACTTGGAGACAAGATGCTGCTCTCCATATGTTCCATTTATAACTTTTTCCCCCCTTCTTTTTGGTCGTGGCTGTTCCTGGAATTTAATGGCACCTGAGGACACTTGACTTTGGAAGAGGGAAGGAAAACGTTGTTGCACGTTCATCCTTTGGAAAATGGCGACAAGAGGAAGAGAGCAAGCCTCACCAATCTTCATTCACTATTGAACATTAGGACTTTATCAAACTGGCAAACTGGCACTGAAGTAAGACTGCCACCTTTGATGATGGCTGCTATCACGCAATGCAATGCACAAAGCATGGAGCCCCCGGTGGCACAGTGGGTTAAACCCCTGTGCCGACAGGACTGAAGACCGACAGGTCGCAGGTTCGAATCCGGGGAGAGGCGGATGAGCTCCCTCTATCAGCTCCAGCTCCTCATGCGGGGACATGAGAGAAGCCTCCCACAAGGATGATAAAACATCAAATCATCCGGGCATCCCCTGGGCAACGTCCTTGCAGACGGCCAATTCTCTCACACCAGAAGCGACTTGCAATTTCTCAAGTAGCACCTGGAACGACAGAAAAAAGAATGCACAACATGACCGCATTTCTGTGTACAAACCCACACGATCTCTTCGCTCATCTGGAGAGGTCCTGCTCTCGCTCCCACCTCCCTCGCAGGCGCAATTGGTGGGGACGAGGGAGAGGACCTTCTCGGTGGTGGCCCCCCAACTCTGGAACTCACTTCCCAGGGATATCAGACATGCCCCAACATTTGCAGTCTTTAGGAGGAGCCTGAAAACGTGGCTGTTCCAGTGTGCCTTCCCAGAATAAGGGGAAAAAATTCCCAGCAAAATGTCCTCAGAATGCACTTTAACTATTCGTTGGATTGCGCTCCCCTCACTTCTTTTAAAACCATCCTACCAGGTATATCATACCTTGTTCATGCCCAGCATTTATTTTTTAATTTTAAAGTAATACATCTGGCCTGACCATAGGTTTTTTAAACCCTTGTGTGTTAATGTTTCTACGTGATTTATATTAATTGTATTGTTGTTATTTTTTGTTTATTGCTTTGTTGTTTATTGATGTGTTGTTGGGCTTGGCCTCATGTAAGCCACTCCAAGTCCCTTGGGGAGATGGTGGCGAGGTATAAATAAAGTATTATTATGATTATGATGATGATGATTATTATTATTATTATTATTGACGGCCTTCAACCTCCCTGCAACGAAGCTGCTATTGATGGGGAAACCCTTCAATAACCCAATTGTTCCGTAGTCCATGCCGCTACCTTGTGCAATAAACCTGGATCCACATGTCAGCACAAAAGTGGTGCCAGTGGTTGGGATTGTCCTGCTTGCTCACTCTCCCCCACTTCCCTTTCCACTAATTCATCATGTAAAGTTTTGTTAATTGATTTATCAACTGAATTTCATGAAAAGTAACTTTTCAAAGAAAATTAAATTTATTTATTTATTTACTCTATTTATACCCCAAGGTTTCTCTACCTCGAAGGGGGCTCAAGGCGGCTTTCATATTGGCACTTATTCAATGTCTTAAGACACATAACAATCCTAAAGGTAAAGGTAAAGGTAGTCCCCTGACATTAAGTCCAGTCATGTCTGACTCTGGGGTGTGGTGCTCATCTCCATTTCTAAGCCGAAGAGCCAGCGTTGTCCATAGACACCTCCAAGGTCATGTGGCCGGCATGACTGCATGGAGTGCTGTTACCTTCCCGCCGGAGCAGTACCTATTGATCTACTCACATTTGCATGTTTTCGAACTGCTAGGTTGGCAGAAGCTGGGGCTGACAGCAGAAGCTCACGCCGCTCCCCGGAATCGAACCTGCGACCTTTCGATCAACAAGCTCAGCAGCTCAGTGCTTTAACCCACTGCGCGACCGGGTGCTCCTTATAACAATCCTAGTAACATTAAAATTAAAATTAATTCATATTAAGCATTTAAAATGTGTAAAAACATTGCATTAAATATAAATCACACCAACCATAATCGTAATCCAAAGGCGTTCCATAGTCATTGTACATATTCCAAATCTGTTATTGCACAGATTAAACTCCAGAACAGTGGAAATGTGGTAGTGTAGACTTACTCTGCTAACCGGAAGTAAGGTCACAGGGCCATGGACCACTGAAGCATTGCACTTGCATGATGCTTGAAGACCTGTGATTGTGAGTATCGTGAGTATCATCATCCTAGTGAGTTGCCACTATCCCTGATCACGCAAGTCTGTGGAATAGCGGCTTCAGTTATTTTTACTGTGTTTGCTTTCGTTATGATAAATTCAGACTTGAACCAAATTATGAAGTGTGATGAAACGTGCTTGTCAACTCACGAAATAATTGGTTTAGTTAAAAATAACATCCAATCAGCTCTATGGAGAAGGCATTCTACAAAATGTATATCAAGGCTCAGAAGTCTTCCCCATGGATTTGCACTTTCTGGAATGATAATGGTAGGAGCAAACTTACTATTACTATTGTATCATCGGAAAACACAGAGAAATGCTCTCTGGTTCCCCCAAGAGGCCAGTTCAGATAGTAGAATTTTTGTGAAAAATCCAAAACAATAGGGAAAAAATCCTTAACTGAAGCACAAGCGAGCCATCTATATGAGCTTTCCCCCTCGTCCCCCCATTAGAATCATAGAGTTGGAAGAGACCTCATGGGTCATCCAGTCCAACTCCCTGTCAAGAAGCAGGAAAATTGCATTCAAAGCCCCCCCGACAGATGACCATCTAGCCTCTATTTAAAAGCTTCCAAAGAAGGAACCTCCACCACACTCCAGGGCAGAGAGTTCCACTGCTGAACAGCTCTCATAGTCAAGAAGTTCTTCCTAATGTTCAGATGGAATCTCCTTTCTTGTAGTTTGAAGAAATTGCTCAAATGGAGTCAGCATATAATCTCTAGTAATGAGTTTCAGGAAAACAAATCTTTCCTGCTGTACTGAAAGTAGTGAGGTTACAACCAGGGCCGTTACAAGGAAAAAGTAACTTTGTGAATATACATATAAAGAGAGACTCCACAAATAAAGTTTCAGAAACAATCAAGCAACACTAAATCAAACGCCAACATGTATCCTTTTTTGCCAGAACATTTAGATTTGGATTTCATTTCAAATGCAAGATGCGGGTGAAGTCGAGGAAGAATTTAAAAGGGTCTTGCCTTGAAGGAGAGACCCTGCGGACCCACCAAAGAGGGCTCGCTACAATGGTGAGCAAAGAGAAGCTGCAATTTAAAAGATTTCCCTAAGTTCCCAAAAGAATCTCACCAAAGTTGAATTAAGCGCCACCAAGTTTATTTTATTGTGATCCAGCTGGAAAGGATGCAAAGCAACAATATTTCACCAAGCAGAGCATGCAGTGTACAGAAATAAGGCCTTTCTATACATAAAACAGAGCTGTCAGGTTTGAATTTCCCGCTCCCTGCCCCTCTGCCGGCTCGACGATGATTGGCTGGCGCCTTACAGCTGGGAGGAGGTTTGGCCGCCTCCTAAGCACCTCGGCAAATCGCTGGGCTTCTGCCGTCTTGGCTTCCTGACCAATCAGGAGAGAGGGAGGCGGGACGAGAGGGAAACAATGAATTCTTGAGAGGATTATGGAGATAGGTAATGTCCAAGTGGCCAGCAAGTCCCGGGTGGCCTGCAAGCCGGCCATCCTATTGTCCTTGATTGATGGCAATAAATGTTGATGTCTGGCAAGCCTGCCAAGAACTGGATTTTCCTGGAGCTGAGATATGGAAAAAATGAAGCAATATTGGCTGAAGTTTCGGTGGAGGAAGGTTTGAATGGGCAACAGATCAGGACAAAGTGTGGCTTTCCAAAGGCCCTTTGTCCTGTGGAGATATGATCATTTATGCCAGGGGGCTGCCATCCGCTGAGGAGCCCCAGGGTTACAGCCATTGTATTGTCCATGCAAAAAAGTGTCTTTTGATAAGGTTCTTTTTCAACTGAGGATTTCCTTCTTTCCAGGGTCACAGAGGGTGGCTTCTTATATTTTTATACATTTTTTTAATAAAGGGAATAGGGCAGAAGGGTCAGGCAAAGGTCATTCATAGGGGGCTTGAAAACGTAAAGTTTCCAAAAAGTTTCTAAGAGCCCTTCAGAAGGGGAAAAAAAGTCCCATAGAAGTTCAAGAGAGTACATAAGTGTAAAGGGAGGTGGTTTCTCAGTAATAAATGTGTTACCTTCTGCTATATATGAAACATAGGGCATAAAACCTTGATTAAATGTATACACTACCTAACATGGGAAGGGTCCTAGTTGTTGTTGTTAGTGTCTTGGCAAATTGACCAAGGTTTAACCCTTATTATCCAGTCTGGTGTCCTTGTCCTTAGCAAAACTATACGTTACTATCTTTTATTTGGGGGAAAAGTCCCATAGAAGTTCAAGAGACTACATAAGTGTAAAGGGAGGTGGTTTCTCAGTAATAAATGTGTTACCTTCTGCTATGTATGAAACATAGGGCATAAAACCTTGATTAAATGTACACACTATCTAACATGGGAAGGGTCCTTGTTCTTGTTGTTAGTGTCTTGGCAAATTGACCAAGGCTTAACCCTTATTATCCAGTCTGATGTCCTTGTCCTTAGCAAAACTATACGTTACTATCTTTTATTTGGGGGAAAAGTCCCATAGACGTTCAAGAGACTACATAAGTGTAAAGGGAGGTGGTTTCTCAGTAATAAATGTGTGTTGTTGTTCATTCGTTCAGTCGTCTCCGACGCTTCGTGACCTCATGGACCAGTCCACGCCAGAGCTCCCTGTCGGCCGTCACCACCCCCAGCTCCTTCAAGGTCAGTCCAGTCACTTCAAGGATGCCATCCATCCATCTTGCCCTTGGTCGGCCCCTCTTCCTTTTGCCTTCCACTTTCCCCAGCATAATTGTCTTCTCTAGGCTTTCCTGTCTCCTCATGGTGTGGCCAAAGTACTTCAACTTTGTCTCTAGTATCCTTCCCTCCAGTGAGCAGTCGGGCTTTATTTCCTGGAGGATGGACTGATTGGATCTTCTCACAGTCCAAGGCACTCTCAGCACTTTCCTCCAACACCACAGCTCAAAAGCATCGATCTTCCTTCGCTCAGCCTTCCCTAAGGTCCAGCTCTCACATCCGTAGGTTACTACAGGGAATACCATGGCTTTGACTAGGCGGATCTTTGTTGCCAGTCTGATGTCTCTACTCTTTATTATTTTAGCGAGATTGGACATTGCTCTCCTCCCAAGAAGTAAGCGTCTTCTGATTTCCTGGCCACAGTCTGTATCTGCAGTAATCTTTGCGCCTAGAAATAAAAAGTCTGTCACGGCCTCCACGTTTTCTCCCTCTATTTCCCAGTTGTCAATCATTCTTGTTGCCATAATCTTGGTTTTTTGATGTTTAACTGCAACCCAGCTTTTGCACTTTCTTCTTTCACCTTGATTAGAAGCCTCCTCAGCTCCTCCTCGCTTTCGGCCATCAGAGTGGTGTCATCTGCATATCTGAGGTTGTTAATGTTTCTTCCAGCAATTTTCACCCCAGCTTTGCATTCATCAAGCCCCGCACATCGCATAATGTGTTCTGCATACAAGTTAAAAAGGTTGGGTGTACCTTAAATGTGTACCTTCTGCTATATATGAAACATAGGGCATAAAACCTTGATTAAATGTAGACACTATCTAATATGGGAAGGGTCCTTGTTGTTGTTGTTAGTGTCTTGGCAAATTGACCAAGGCTTAACCCTTATTATCCGGTCTGGTGTCCTTGTCCTTAGCAAAACTATAAGTTACTATCTTTTAGGGGGGTCATGTTTGACTTCACGGGTGTTTCCGAAGATACCCCAATTCAACATACCTAACAAGGCCAGTTCACAGTTGCAGCCGTCTTTCCCGTAAAATTTCAAAGTTGACGACATAGATCTATAACCTAACCTATCCATCTCTGAATCAACACCCACAATGCCTATTCCTCTGGAACAGATGAGGGATTTGGTTTTTAATCACCCCTTTCTAATGCAAAAAGGAGGGAAAATGATCAATTACTTCTGTCTTTCCCCAGTCATGTTCCTATTAGAGAAGACCTTACCTTTGCAAATGATTAGTATGTAGGGAAGGCATTAAAATGAATTATACCGGCAATCCAGTCCTCAATCCCTTGGCAGAACCTTTCCATCACAGGAGACGCGTTGACTCCCCCGGGGCTGAGGAGGGGAGAGAGAGAGGGATCAAAACCAAGTTCAATAACTTTACTAGAGTCTAATCGAATATGCAGTGTTCAACCCTCCATTTGGCCCTGATTTAAAAGAAATATACACGAGAAGCAGTTTAACATACATTTGTCTGCCCCTCTTTTCTGCTGGGCTTACTTCCAGAGGCAAGAAATAGAATGCGCATGACAATATGGTCTTGAGACATGGGCTCCATGTAGGAAAACTGGAAGTGATTGCTGGCCAAGATGGAAAAGGGATATGTTTTGCGGATGGGAACATTTCAAATGACCATTTTGCTAGGAGAATAGTAAGGGAGAAAATGGCATGGTGGTCCCTTGCACGCCTTCCACAATTGAAGAGAGATATTGACAAACTGGAAAATGTCCATAGGAGGGTGACTAAAATGATCAAGGGTCTAGAGAACAAGCCCTATGAGGAGTGGCTTAAAGAGCTGGGCATGTTTAGCCTGAAGAAGAGAAGGCTGAGAGGAGACATGAAAGTCATATATAAATATGTGAGAGGAAGCCACAGGGAGGAGGGAGTGAACTTGTTTTATGCTGCCCTGGAGACTAGGACATGGAATAATGGCTTCAAACTACAAGAGAGGAGATTCCATCTGAACATTAGGAAGAACTTCCTGACTGTGAGTGCCATTCAGCAGTGGAACTCTCTGCCCCGGAGTGTGGCAGAGACTCCTTCTATGGAGGCTGTAAAGGTCCCTTACCTTTTGCAGCCAGGATTGCAGGGCCTAGAGTAAGTCTGCCAGCTAGTTTGCAGCTTAGGTGGGCCTGGCGAAGCAGCAGTAGCCATTTTAGATCAGGGAAGGCACCAACTTAGAGAGAGTTTAGAGAGGGGGAGTGTCTTAGGCCTGAGTCAGCAGAGATCGGCCAGGATTGGTTTAGAAAAGGAGGCGGAGTTTAGAGAGGCTTGGAGGGAAAAAGAGCCTTTTAAATCAGAGAAAGGGGGAGTTGAAGATGAGGTTTTGAAGAGAAAGGATGTGTTAAAAGTTTGTGGTTTAGAGTTTAGGAGAGGGCCAAGTTTGCCATTGGTTTGCCAGCAAAGTTAGCTGAAGCAAACTTGACAGCTATTAGGGACATAGCTGGGTTGTAGCTAGATAGGACATAGGTTAGTGTATCTGAGCTACAGAAGTAATCCTGACAGAGATTCAGTTCCTGTTAAGTTTACTTGTTAGTGAAGAGAAGAAACTCTTTTTATTTTAACAAAGCCAGAACTATTATTGTAACCGTTACGCATTCAAGACAAAAGCCAAAAATTTTCTGTAACAGCCAAGATATTAAACTGCACTTACTTTCCTGTGTTTCAATCAATAAACTTTCATTGATTATTTAAATTTAAAAGCCTGAGTCAAGTGTGCCTTTGTGGCTAAAGTTTCTTAAACAACCTCAACTATTTTTAAAAGAAGAAATAATAAGACACAGTGTTTAGTGGTCTCAAAAGATCTTTAATATTTGGGCAGCTAGAGTGTTCCCTTACAGTACAGTTTGGTGGCAGCAGAAGAAACTTAAAGATACCCCTCAAACATCATATTTGTTTCCAGTGATGTGGGATTGATTATTGTATATCCCCATCTTTATAATTGGTGCACAGCGGAGTGGGATCTGATATTGTTTGATCTCCTCATCGGGTCAATCTTTATAGAGGCTTTTAAACAGAGGCTGGATAGCCATCTGTCGGGGGTGCTTTGAATGCAGTTTTCCTGCTTCTTGGCAGGGGGTTGGACTGGATGGCCCATAAGGTCTCTTCCAACTCTATGATTCTATGATTTTATGATTCCAGGTGGTCTTTTGAATCAGCCCACGGATACCTAATTACAATGGTTTCTTTGCAGGCTGTGATGATGGAGGTCTTCAGTTTGTTCCAATGTTCCTCAGCATTTTTGGGGTGTTCTATGGATAGATGATCCTTGAGGGTTGTTTAGAGAAGGGCTTGTTTGGAGGGTTCCTGAAGGGCTTGGGTGTTCATACTGTACTGCACTTTATCTTTTTTTCCTTGGAGTCTGTATTTAGGGGCATTTGGATCTTGATCTTCAGTGTTGGTGGACTGCCATAAGGACTCCATGGATATTGACTTATAACACCTAAAACTTTCCAGAAGCGTGTGTAAGAATGGGGAAGGGCGGAATACAGGCCCGTAGCCAGGATTTCGTTTCGGGGGAGGGGCTGAATTTTTTTCAGGGGGGGTTTTGGGGGGGCTGAGTTTCGGGGGGGCTGAGTCTGAGTGAAAGAGGGTCTACCCTAGCAAACCTTTTGTATCGTTACCCCAATACCCCCATGCATATGGGATATATTGAGTATGGTGATCAGATCATGATATGAATAAACATAACAGTTTAAGTAATGCACCAGTAAGGCCTTTTCACGAACCACCATGAGAATTTCAGGGGGGGGGCTGAAGCCCCTCAAGCCCCCCCCCCCCCCGGCTACATGCCTGGCGGAATAGAAATACTGTAAATAAATAAATAAAATAAATATACACACATACGTACACATACCTATGAATAGCTGCCTTCTAATCAAGGTGAAAGAAGAAAGCGCAAAAGCTGGGTTGCAGTTAAACATCAAAAAAACCAAGATTATGGCAACAAGAATGATTGACAACTGGGAAATAAAAGGAGAAAACGTGGAGGGCGTGACAGACTTTGTATTTCTAGGTGCAAAGATTACTGCAGATGCAGACTGTGGCCAGGAAATCAGAAGACGCTTACTTCTTGGGAGGAGAGCAATGTCCAGTCTCGATAAAATAGTAAAGAGTAGAGACATCAGACTGGCAACAAAGATCCGCCTAGTCAAAGCCATGGTATTCCCTGTAGTAACCTACGGATGTGAGAGCTGGACCTTAGGGAAGGCTGAGCAAAGGAAGATCGATGCTTTTGAGCTGTGGTGTTGGAGGAAAGTTCTGAGAGTGCCTTGGACTGCGAGAAGATCCAACCAGTCCATCCTCCAGGAAATAAAGCCCAGCTGCTCATTGGAGGGAAGGATACTAGAGACAAAGTTGAAGTACTTTGGCCACATCATGAGGAGACAGCAAAGCCTAGAGAAGACAATTATGCTGGGGAAGGGGGAAGGTAAAAGGAAGAGGGGCCGACCAAGGGCAAGATGGATGGATGGCATCCTTGAAGTGACTGGACTGACCTTGAAGGAGCTGGGGGTGGTGACGGCCGACAGGGAGCTCTGGCGTGGGCTGGTCCATGAGGTCACGAAGAGTCGGAGACGACTGAACGAATGAACAACAACAACATGAATAGCTGTTGCTGATAATAGCAGATAATAAGGGATTGAGATGCTTTTACGATCCTTGTGTTCTCCCTAAACTAAAAAGGAATCATGAATGCAAACAGGACATAGATTAGTAATATCATTAATACATGCAATAGTGAATTCTGGCCCCTACATCATTTTTGGCCTCTATGTCCCATCTATTGCAAGACTTTGGTATCACAACCATCCTGATAAATCTGGATTATGAAGACCAGAGGACAAAATGCCCGGAGTAGGAAAGAGCACCCTTCCTTGTTTCTTTATGGGCCCTGATATTTCAATAACACCAGTGGATAAAAAGGAATGGTGTGTGATTTATGGTAGGCCAGAATCCAATTTTAAGCCTCTGATGACAGCTGCATTTTTGAGCCTAGTCTTGAGAGTCAGGCAAAGTTAATACAACTGGAGTTCCATAAATCAAATCTCAGCCCTAAGAAGGTTAATAAGTTTACATGGCATAATTGAAAGCCATCTTGATGACTAAAAAGGATTTTATGTAACAGCTTTCGAGGTCACCCACTAATTTTATTTCCAGTGGCCAAGCCATAAAATATACAGCAAAGGGCTACACGGCAGCTCTCTAAGTAGCATGGAAATGAAATTATGTTAAATGTTCAGGACTGGATGCATTTTCAAATTCTGAAAGTTTGGCTTTGAAGTTGAAAGTTCACTCTTAACATTTGGTGGCATCCAAATTACCCTCCTTTTATTAACTAGAAGAATGAATAAAGTCAATTAGAAAATATAATCAGAAACCAGACATGGCTAATATTTAGAGTGTTGACCGGGGTCCAGGTTCACATTCTTATTTAGACCTTGGAAAAGTTATTGTTTAAGACTGCAAAGAATCCCCCAACCAGCATTAATTCTATGGTGTAGATGCACCCTTCGATGAGAAACCTTTGAGAAATTTGTGGAGATGAATTCATTTTGGCAATGTGTATTGTAATGAGGTTACTTACTTACCCGAAGATGATGGTCCTCCAAGTGTAGTGTCTTGGCAATGGGTCTGTAGGTGGCTGTGCAGCTCTATTCTTGATCTGCATGTTCTCCCACAGTGAGGACATTGGTTTCCAGGTGGAAGGCGGTCTTGGGGAGGGTTGGCTTGATGTGTGTGTGTGTGTTTACATATATACTAGCTTGGGGACCCGACGATGCCTGGGTTATTTGAGAAAGGCATAAGAGAATGGGAACAAACATGGAAACTGAAACTAAAATACACGTACTCATCTGACCTGAAAGAGAATTGGTACAAAATGTTCTTCCGATGGCACATGACCCCACAGAAACTTGGACTAATGTATAAAAACATCCAAAACAAATGCTGGAAGTGCCAAACCCAAGTGGGAACATATTACCACATGTGGTGGTCATGTACTAAAGCTAGAAAATACTGGAAAACAATACAGGAGGCCTCTCAGAAGATCCTGCAAACAACAATACAATTAAAACCAGAATACTTCCTTCTCGGCATTACGGACGAAGACATACCGCTCAAAAGAAATAAAGACAAACTATTCACCTTCCTGACAAGAGCAGCAAGGACAACATACGCCAAGAAGTGGAAACTAAAGGAGCTGCCAACCAAAGAAGAATGGGAATCTAAGGTTTCTGAAATAATGGACATGGATTTATTAACATACTATCTTAAAGACCCAGAGAGCAAGCCAATAAACCCAACAGACTGGACCCTCTTCAAAAATTACATGGAATCACAACGAAACCCACGAAGACTTGCTACCCCCGAGTGAGTACAAGTGACAGAAATGAAAACAAAAAATCAGAGACTTGGAAAGTCCAAAAAAGAAGTGACCAATATTAAACAAAAACGCGGCACCAGAGTGATGATCAAGACTACCCAGGGAAGATAAAGGCGGAAGTCAACAAAAAGAAACAGTTTCTAAACTATTTTTTTTAACTGTCATATATCTGTCCCTTTTCCGCCTTTTTTCTCTCCCACTACTTCCCCCCCCCTTGCTTCTCATCCTTTCCCCCCCCCTTTTTTTCTTTTCCCCTCGCCATCCCCCTGCTTCTTCATTGCCCCCTATTCTTGACATTCGAATGCGTCCATCCCCTACCCCCAAGCCTACCCTTGCCTACCCCCACACCTATCCACTATCTTCCCTTTCCTCTTTCTAATAATTCTAGTGTTTTTAAATGTTTGTAAGCAAAACTACAATAAACATATTTTAAAAAAGAAAAAGAAAGGCATTGTGTGCCAAGGTTGGTCTTTATCAGTTATGTATGTGGCTTGCAGTGGTCTCAGGAAGTTAGTGAAGGTACTGCAAGTCTCATCATCCATGGTCCATTCTCCTCCAAACTGCACCAGGATGTAGAATGGTTCATGGGGGCTCTGTGTGCCAAGTTTGGTCTTTATTGGTAATTGGATGAGTGTTGCTATAGTCTCAGGAAGTGAGTGAAGGTACTGCAAGTCCCATCATCCATGGTCCATCCTCCAAACAGCACCAGGATGTAGAGTGGGTCATGGGGGCTCTGTGTGCAAAGTTTGGTCTTGATCAGTCATTGGATGAGGGTCACAGTGGTCT